CAGGTTCCCCAGAGCATGTTGGGGGGGCGGGGGAAGGCTCCCTCGTGAACTTGCCTGGGGCCCAGCTGGAATCCGTGTCCTTGCAGAGGCCTCTCGGGCCAAGATTTGGAAATGAAGAGGTGGAGGAGGAGGAGGCAGATCTATATCTGTCCATCTCTACCTGTTTAAATCCTTCTTACTCTTCCTGAGCACAAACGCCACCTCCTCTGTAAAGCCTTCCCAGATCTCTGCAGAATCCATCCTTCCCCCTCAGCACACTGATATTGCGCTTATGTGTTGATGGCTAATTTTAGGTGCCGACTTGGCTGGATTAAGAGATACCCAGATAGCTGGTAGAGCATTATTTCTGGGTGCATCTGTGAGGGTGTTTCCAGAAGAGATTGGCATTGAATTAGTAGACTGAGTAAGGATACCTGCCCTCACCCACTGTGGGCAGGCACCACCCAATTGGCTGAGGCCAAGACAGAACAAAGAGGCAGCGGAAAAGTGAATTCATTCTCTCTCTCTCTGGGAGCTGGGACATCTTCTTCTCCTGCCCTTGGACATCAGAACTCCAGGTTCTCTACCTTTGGACTCTAGGACTCGCACAAGCAAGCATCCCCCACCAATACCTCCCACCAGGCTGTCAGGTGTCAGTCTGATTACATCATCAGCTTCCCTGGTTCTGAGACCTTTGGACTTGGACCGAGCCACACTACCAGCTCCCCCAGTTCTCCAGCCTGCAGACAGCATATTGTGGGACTTCTCGGCTTCCATGATCACGTGAGTCAATTACCCTGACAAATCCCCTCTCGTACCTCTCTATCTGCATACATCCTATTGATTCTGTCTCTCTGGAGAACCCTGACAAATACATATGCTCTATTAGCGTTCCATGCTGCATAACAAATTACCACAGAGTCCGCAGTTTTAAAACTACACACATTTATTATCTTGCAATTTCTCTGGGACAGAAGTCCAGGCACAGCTTAGCTGATCCGCTGCCCAAGGCCTCACAAGGCTGCAATTGGGGTGTCAGCTGGGCTGCATTTTCATCTGGAGGCTCAACTGGGGAAGAATCCACTTCAACTCATTCAGGTTGTTGGCAGAATTCATTTCCTTGGGACTATATGACCGAGGGGCCTGGCTTTTGCTAGCTACTGTCTGGAGGCCACTCTCAGGTCCTAGAAGCTGCCCACAGTTCCTTCCTCACCATGGCTGCTGATTTCATCAAGACAGTGAGGAGAGTCTCTCCAGTCCGCTAAAATGGAGTCTTATATAATATAACATAGTTAAAAGAGCAACATCCCATCACCTTAGCTATATTGTGTGGGTTAGAAGCAAGTCACGGGTCTCACCGACACTCAAAGGGAGGGGATGATACAAAGGCAGGAAGAGGCCCCAAGAGGCTGACCCCATAACCTGGATCACCAGGCTTCACTGCCCTCTGGCATCAGGCTGGGTTCATCCTCTGAGAAGCTGGAGGAGGACTGGAGGGTGGAAAGAGAGAAGAGCGGGGGTGTTTGTTCCCCTCGCTCTCTGCTGGCTGACAGTTTGGGCAGTGGGTATTGTCTTCTCCCTCCAGCCACGGCTCCCACCGTAGCTCTCAGGGCTCCTGCTACACCGGCTCCCTCCCTGGCTCTGCGGGTATAAGGGCCTCCCTCTGTTGCTACTCCCATCCCCTTCACTATGCCACCTCTCTGTTAATAGTCCCCTCACCAAACTCTCTTCAATTTCCTTTTTGAAAGTGATGTTTGACTGACAGGGGCCTGAGTGCGATGAAATATTATCACATGAGTGAATGCAGGCATGCACAATTAAAGAAAGCCGAAATACGGTGGAACTATGATTACATATCTACTGTGTTCAAGGCACCATGCTAAGCTTGTTGAATAGGCACACAAGTCCTGTGGGATGGGTATTAATATTTCTAGTGGAACAAGAGGAATTTGGGGCAGAAAACTGAAATCGCCTGCTCAGGCTCACAAAACTTTTAGTGGTGGTACCAGAGTTTTTCCACCTCATCATCATGCTTTTAGCCTAAGCTTTCGAATCTCTACAGAAGGGCTGGATGGACCCAGAGTGACCCCACCAGCCTTGATCCAATGCCATCTCCCTCCACCCTCCTGTGTGGCCCTCTGCCTGATAGCTCCATTGACAGAGAGCTCTCTGCCCAAGAGGGTGGTAGGGTCCCCACCCCTTGTCTCCAGCTCAGGGTGGGAATGGACTCCCCCGGGATGGGGATGTCAAGTCAGGGAGGACGGGGATCTATACCAAGGCCTCAGGGAAGAGGCAGGCATAAGGTATACATGAGGGCTATGGAAGGCTGGAGCGCACGGATCACACAGCGGACAGGGCGAGAGAGGGCATGTGGCTTCCCCTGGCCGTACTGTCTGCAGGAACCCCTCCTGGGACAGATGTCATGCCAGAGAAGGAGCATCCACCTGGCCAAATGGGCCAAGGAGACGGAGTGGGTGGGGCAGGCGCAGAGGGCAGAAGCCCCAGGCCTGACTAATCCCCCTCCAAGGCAGCCTGCCGCCCACCCTCTGCTCCACAGAAACACAACAGGACACAGGGTCATTTGCCTCCTGGGATTATCTCACTCAAATCAAGGCGGGACTTCAGCCAGCTTCCCCTAAGCTTCCTGAGGGCTTCCGCGGAGGCCGCTCTACCAAGGTGAACCTCAAGGGGGCGCCCATTCCCCAGGCGAGGGGAGGCGACGTCTGCCCGGGAGTGAGGACTCCCGACGGGGACCCTGCGCCTCCGCGACACAGGCTGTGCCGTCTGGGAGGGCAGGGATGGTTTCTGTCCATATCTGCATGCTGAGGCCCCAGCCCACGCTGTCGGGTGACTAGATAAGACTTCTGGTTAGACGTAGACTGGAGCCCGGTGCAAACACAAACCTATTCCTGCCGTAGAACTCTGGAGGCTTAGGAAGTGGGTGCACCAGGTACCCTGAGGGCTGGGATGCAGGACATGTGGGGCAGAAAACAGAACTAGTCAAAGTTTGTCCAAGGAACCATGAACCAGCTCCAACCAAGGATTCTTCCCACAATGGTGAAATATCCAGTGAGCTGGGCCTCAGCATAGATTTGTCTGCCAAAACCATTGTAGGCTCCGAGCTGATGAAACAAATCACGTTAAAATGATGGTGAGAAGAGCTACAGTCCCTTAAAGATGGTGAAATAAGGCCGGGCGCGGTGGCTCACGCCTGTAATCCTAGCTCTCTGGGAGGCCAAGGCGGGCGGATTGTTTGAGCTCAGGAGTTGGAAACCAGCCTGAGCAAGAGCGAGACCCCGTCTCTACTAAAAATACAAAGAAATTAATCAGACAACTAAAAATATATAGAAAAAATTAGCTGGGCATGGTGGCGCATGCCTGTAGTCCCAGCTACTCGGGAGGCTGAGGCAGTGTAGGATCGCTTGAGCCCAGGAGTTTGAGGTTGCTGTGAGCTAGGCTGACGCCACGGCACTCACTGTAGCCCAGGGAAAAGAGTGAGACTCTGTCTCAAAAAAAAAAAAAAAAAAATGGTGAAATAATTCTTAAAATCATGGTTATTTCAAAAGTTTTGCTACCTACTGCTTGGAAATATCCAGTTACCTGGGCCTAAACATAGATTTGTCTGCCAGAACCGTATTCCATTCCAAGCTGATGATGCCTCTGCAACGTAGCAGACAGGCATCTCTGGGCGTCTGTCCCCTCCTGACCCAGGCTGAAGGTTATTCTGGAGATTTGGACCAGACAGGCCCTTGTCTCTAGGCACAGCAGGAAGAGAGAGGCCATCCCACAAGTGCAGGGTCAAAAAAGATCAGCATATGGGGAGTGAGATGCCCCCCACCCCAGCTCCTTCCCACGCTGGGCTCCGGCGACCAGGCAGGAGCGACCCGGTACAGACAGATGCCAAGACGCCTGGCACAAGGCAAGGGTCACCAGGTGTTTGAGGAAAGCCTCTAACCTGAAAGGGAGCTGCAACAAACGAACAGAAAAAGTGGATTCTGTGCTCTTAAGGCAGCCTCGAGGAGTCTGTCCTCCTTCCTCTCCACCTACCGTCTTCTTTTCAGAGCAGGGCATGCAGGACAGCCTGGCCACTGCCACTGGCTGCTTGTCTGGGTCCCCAGACATCCTGTCCCTCCTTCTCACACCAGCCCTAACCTCTCACGAGCAAGAAGTATGCCCCACTGAATACACCACCATACCCAGAGTGAGATGTAGTCCTAGGAACGGAACCAGCCGGATTCACGCAGGGGTCTGAATGATTAACAGCCGGCTCTCTGGAAAAAAGAAACTCCAACTGTTAGGCATTTGTTGAATGCCGTTGTATAAATCCTTCCACCCCCGATGATTTCAAGTGACCCACACGCAGTCACTGACTGTGGAGTTGGGAAGACATGGGCACGGTCAGCTCTCACAGGCCAGTATGAGCTGGCTCCGGCACACCACTGGAGTCACCCCTGGGTGGCAGTGACCAGGGACCCACTCAGGCCACTGCTATGAGTCAAGTGCCCTCTGCCCCCACCCCACCCCCTTCCATGACCCATGACCCATGAGGCTAACTAGCCTCGGGGTTAGCTTTTCTGGACCAGAGCAGAATCCATCCCCCACCAACAAACTCCAAGACAGAAGAGGCAGTTTTATGTAAAACGGGGCTGGGAGGGGACTCCTTAGACACTGTGTCCATTCCCTGCATTTCTTCCCATGCTGTGGCAGCTGCTCCAACCTGGGGTGAGATGACCACGCAAGGGTGCAGGGCTTGTGGGCAGCTGACGCATCTCTTTCCTGTCTGCGGAGGGATCCAAGCCTGGACCGTGGGGAGGCTGCGGCCACATGGGCTTTGCTCGGGACTGGGGCTCTGGAGGGAGTTTGGGGTTACTCTTGGGATGAGGGAACGGAGAGTTAAAGCCTTCTGAGTCTTCAGGCACCTCTGGACATAACCATGCTATACTACACCCCCTGGGCCTCAGTTTACATACCCCCAGCCACCCATTCACATGCCAGGGAAAGAGAGGACAAACTTTAATTGCTGCCGAGAAGAGAGACCTCCCTTTGCCATTGTCAACAGGGGGCATGGCACAGCTCTCTCAGCCCGAGTACAGGTCACTCCTCCTGGAGTGAGCAGCCCTCCCCTCTGCGACCCGGGTTCACAGCACTGAGGGTGCAGGTCGGGGGATTCCGGCTGGCATGGGCCTAGGAGCGCCACAAGATCAGGTTGGCAGAAGGCACATCAAAGCGCTTGCGGGTGTGGTCAGTGTCCCGGCGGTACAGGTAGCCACAGGTAGGCTTCTGCAAGGTATAGAAGGGGTTCAGGGAGTTTGAATATTGGGAGGTGTAGAAATTGAACCTGAGCCTGTCCGGGTTCTGCCCCCGAGGGTCCACCACGACCGGCACATAGGCTGCCGCCAGAGACTGCTCACGGTCCTGCTTCCACGTCCGGGCCAGGGGTGGGTGCAGAGACTTCACTTTGTTGCATGATGGTATCTTTGGCCCATGGCTGGGTACGAAGGGTTTCTGTGAGTCCTGAGAGAAGGGAAAGAAGGTTGGAGCATCAGACACCTGACGTCAACTGCTTGAGCCAGGGGCAGGAGCGAAGAGAAGGGAACGATTCTCAGAAACCCCCACAGCCACCCTGGAGTGCCACACTGCTGCCCATGGAGCCGGGGACCTACAGAGAAGGGGAGAGCCTTCAAGGTCGCCTGAGCTGGGCCTTGCCACTGCAGACCTCTGCCAGCTCTCAGAGGCTGGAGCCCACGGATCATCCTCAATCTTCCCCACACTCAATCTGCCCGTCAGTGTCCTCCTCTCCCTCCTCCGCCGCAGCTCAGCCTTCACGCTGCCTCGCCTGCAGGGCCCCTCCGGCTTCCCAGAACACCTCCCTGCCCAGGCTCCTGCTCTTTCCCCCGTGCTTCATGCTCACACCAGAATGAGTCCTCTCGTGCTAATGGCCGGCGTGTTTGGCCCTCCTGCTCAAGGCATCCTTTGCTCTCGACTGCCTAGAAAGTGAAGCCCCACGCCCCTCGCCTGGAATGAGCGACTTCTCAGGCTGTGGCTTCAGCTCCCCAGGTTCGCATCACTCTGCCCGCCCTGTGCCCGTGCCATGCTGCTCCGTCTCTATTCCCGGTCACTCGTCCCGCTCGCAGGGCCCGTGCCTTTGCCCGGGCTGTCCCTGGCCTGGCACGCCCTCCCTGCCGTTCACCAGGGAAAGCCTGTCTTTCCCGTTAGACTATGAGCTCCTTGAAGACAGTGGTCTCATACCCTTACCCTTGACATAACAGCCTCCAAATCCTATTTCCTCCTTTATTCCAGACCAAGGCATTTAGAGAGTGCTCAATAAATGTTGGTTCAATCGAACTGAATTCTAGTAAGGGGTAGCTCACCTTGCAGCCGACCCACGCATTCCATTTTAGAACACCTTTCATTGTTAGCAAGTGCGGCCAACGCCCACCTCCCCCTTACCACACTCTTGGCCGGTCATGCGCTGAGGTCTGTCCCCTCTCTACAAGTCCCCCATTGCCACACTTATCTCATTGCACTGACGTATATTTATTCCTCTGCCACTCTCCTTCTCGACTGTCCTGTGACCAAACTGTCTTGTTGACCTTCAAACCCACACACCATCTCCCAGGTACTGGCTGTCTGAGGACCTTCCTAGCCACGGGAGTGCCACGCCAAGGATGAAGGCGACCGTCCTCCTTGCGCATGTGTTGGGCTGGCTCTATTCTGCTCCCCTAGGCCTCAACGTCAAGGGAACCCGTTTCCTCTCTGCCTGGGCACTGTGAGAGAAGCCCTCGCTGCAGAGCTGGAAGTTGAGCCCCTGCCCTCTTACGAGGGAGGTCCCAGGGGCTTGAGTCACAATGTAGCTCCTTTGCATCACATTCCCCAACTCTTTGCCCAGTCCAGACTTGCCAGGGCTCCCCCCTCCAGGACAGTCTTTGCCCCTGTGGGCTCCTACCCAGGTATTTATGTGCCCTCAGTTCTGCATTTCAAAATTCTCCCTGGTCTTCCAAGCCCAGCAGCTCTCTTGACACTCTCCAGAAACCTCTGTAGCCTCCCGCTGTCCCCGCTGCATCTCGTCCTCTCCTGTGCCTTCTGGACTCCTCTTAGGGTGTGGTCCCTTGCCAGGAGGCACTATGGTGAGTCAAGCACGCTAATATTTTTTTTTTGAGACAGAGTCTCACTGTGTTGCCCAGGCTAGAGTGCTGTGGCGTCATCCTAGCTCACAGTAATCTCAAACTCCTGGGCTCAAGCGATCCTTCTGCCTCAGCCTCCCGAGTAGCTGGGATTACAGGCATGCGCCACCATGCCCGGCTAATTTTTTCTATGTATTTTTAGTTGTCCAATTAATTTCTTTCTATTTTTAGTAGAGACGGGGTCTCGCTCTTGCTCAGGCTGGTCTCGAACTCCTGAGCTCAAACAATCTGCCCGCCTCGGCCTCCCAGAGAGCTAGGATTACAGGCGTGAGCCACCGTGCCCAGCCAAGCAAGCTAATATTGAAGAAGTGATCACTCTGAGAATCATACGAGTGCACTGGGACTGCCCCCTTCAGTTCTGTGCCTGGGTGCTCGGGTCGTCTCATGCCAGCCCTTTGCATAAGTCCCAACAGGCTGGAAGTGGCTCCCAGCAGTCAGGACCGAGTCCCATTCATCTCTGTGTCCCCAGTGCTGGCACACAGCCATGCTGGACACACAGCTTCTCCTGGGCACCGGAGATTGCAGGCAGAGGGGCAGGCGCCAGCAATGAACTGTGCTGGTGCGAATCCACGATCGTTTTCCACCACCATTTGTGCGCACTACACCAAACCCTGTAAGTGCATTATTTCTTCTAATCCTCACATTAACCTTTGAGGAAGGTACTGTTATCAGCCCCATGTATAACTGAGAAAAACTGAAGCAAAGAGCTTAGTCACATGTTGAGGGTCACGTGGCTGATAAGGGGCAAGGCTGGGCTTTGAACCGGGGTCTGCCCACACCCTGTACTCCATGTTGTGTCTCGTGCCCACTGCACCGTGGGAACAGAGCCTGCCAGGGGCCTGTTCATCTTCGGTTTACTTCTGCCCTCATTCTGTCAACCTGCTGAGCTCCTGCCCGGAGTGCTGGTGGCAGGCGATCAGCCAAGGCTGCCCTGCACAGCCCCGGCCTACTGCGGGGCGAGGCAGCCGGATTCCCCAGCTCAGCAAGAGCACTGCGGGGCTTCGATTACTGGATTTCGGTTCTGGGTCCTCGGACGCCGCATGGGACAACACACTGGAAAGTGTGAGGTTTGCTCTGTGAATTACCAACTCCTAGCAGAGCTGAGGACACGACATGAGGGCTTCATTCATTCGCTCACAGCCATTCCTGAGCACCCCTTGTATGCCAGGCTCTAGGTGTAAGGGTGACAAAGACTCGACAAACACGAACACAAGAGGGTCCCAGTGGGGCGCCGCTGACTCTGGGAGGACGATCTTTGCTGGGGGGTCATCCCGTGCCTTGTAGGATTGCAGCACTGGCCTCCACCCATGAGATGCCAGTAGCACCCCTCCCAGCTGCGACACCCAAAAAGGTCTCCAGGCATTGCCACGTGTCCCTGAGGGTAGTAAAAATCACTGCCACAGAGTCCATGGCAATCTTTTTATCTTCGGTGTTGGGAATGGCAGCCTGGCCCACAGAAGTTTCCCTTTCTTGGGCTGCAAGAAATGGCTTGTGTTTCTTCACGTTAAGGGCGATTCTAAGGATGTGGGGTCTGGTCCTCCAGACACCGCAGAAGAGCTCACCCTGTGGCCCTGAAGATGAGGGAACTGCAGAGGCCCCAGCCCCCCCCTGCCCCTGCTTCCCTGCCCCCCTTCAGTCTCAGGCCGCATCAGCCCCTTGGCCACCTGGACCCTTCTTTACCTTGGGCCCAGGGGGCTAGTGCCAGGAGCGACAGAGGCAGGTGCTTTCAGAATGGCAGGGGAACTGACTGAAGACCCCACAGACAGAAGGGTGACACTCTTTGCTGACAGGGTTGAGCATAGACCAAGCCACTCAGCTCTGCAAAAGCTCCTAAGAGCTGTTTGAGAAGCTACCCTCATTTTTCAGACAAAGAAACTGAGTCTCAGAGGCATCTGAGCATTTGTCTGAGTTCACACAGTTTGTGAGAACCTGTGTAAGAACCTTGCAGAAGTCCCACAACTGCTTAGTGCAGGAACCAGGATTCAAACTCGCCCCTCCCTCTCTGCCCTAGGCCAAGCCCTGGCTTGGGCCCACCTGCCCTGGGTCTGCCCGCTGGCCGTGCCCAAGACACCGCTGCTGTTATGACAGACAGGTCCTGGGGTGGGGGCCCAGGGCCCAGCACATCCAGGATGAGGCCCTCACAGAAACTGGGGCAGAGGGACAGGCCGCGGGAGGAGGTGCAAGAGCCGGAAAGGAAGGAGGAAAAGAAAAAGAGGAGGAGGAAGAGGGAGCCCAGGCAGCCCCAGCCTTGCCCTGCCCTTCCGGGGGGCCAGGCTCCCAGTGACTAAGCTCCGAGGGCTGAGAACACCCCATGCCCTCCCCAGGGCCCAGCACAGCCAGCTCTGGAGGGAGGGTGGGGCCTGGCTGCATACTTTCCAGGTTAACATCTGGTTTCATTTAACCATCTCCTGCCCTCGCAGTGCACTGTGTGTGCGCACGCGTGCATGTGTGTGTGACTTTAGATCAGTGATTCTCGGCTGGGGGGTGATTTCCTGCCCCCAGAAGACATTTGGCAATGTTTGGAAACATTTTTGGTTGTCACGCAGAGTAGGGTGGTTGCTACTGGCATCTACAATGGACAGGACAGCCCCCACAACAAAGAATTCATCAGAACACAGTGTCAAAGGCACCAAGGTTGAGAAACCTTGGTTAGAGGCTGGAGGAAGATGCCGCATCGCCCTTACCTGGTTCCCTCACTTACTCCTCCACAGCACAGGAGCAAAGAAGCTTATGGGGCAGGTAAGGGTCTCATCAGCCCCTCCCCTCCCTTCAGAATCCCACTACCCTATTTTCGTTTGGGTTTTAAGCTAAAGCCAAAAGAAGAAATCTGGATAGAACTATTCCTCTGCCATCCCCATCCCTGCAGGCAGGCCCTGCCAAGACCTTTTAGATACCACGTACATTAGTGTGTGTGTGTCCCTTGTGCCAGAGTTAGAATGGGGAAGAGGGTGACCCCAGAGGAGCGGGGTTTTCTGAGTAGGGCAAGAAGATCTCATTCGAGACACTACTACAGGTCTTCCAGGAAAGCAGGCTGTCCTCTCAAATCCTCCAGGCCCACAGGAACATGGCCTTGCCTAGCCCACGCCCGCAATTCCACCCTTACGCCTGCTGCTCGATGGAAGGCCTTATGCCCTGTCGAAATGCAAATAGCACTGGGGCGAGGCCGCTGGTGAGGGCTCCGGGGGCCTGGTGTGCTGTGGAATGTGCCTGGCCTTTGGAGTTTGAAGGTCTGAGCTGGGGTCCGGGCCCCGCCCTTACAGGTCAGGTGACCTTGGGCAAGTTGCTGAACCTCTTTGAGCTTCAGTTGCCTCATCTGCAAAATGGGCATAATGAGGCTGTCTACCTCACTAGCCTGCTGTGGGGGCGTGATGGGTGGCGGGCCGGAAAGGGGAACCCCAAAAAGCAACCGCAGCCAGCCTCCCCCAGAAGTTCCTCCGAGGCAAAAGTTTAGGAAAGCATTTGCCCCAGGGGGGCTCAAGGGCTCTGCAAGGGATGGGTGGGGAGGCTGAGAGTGGGCCCAGCCTCCTGGGGGCCAGGTAGCATGGGGCCTGGAGCCAGCTACCTGGGTTCAAATTCCAGCTGCCCCACTCACCAGCTGCCTGCTCTTTGGGTAAAGTATAATGCTCCTACCTCGATTTTCCCCAGGATAAACGGGAGCAACAGCAGGATCTGTCTCACAGGGTTGCTGTGAGGATTTAATGGGCCACTCCGTGTAAAGTGCCTGGACCTCTTAGGCACTTAGATAAACTTTAGCCATTATTACGACTTATCACAAGTTTGCTGGGAGATGGGGTCATGCAAACCCGATAGTCAGGAGACATGTTGGGGAAGTGGAGGAGCGAAGGCACCGGAGGAGCTGGATGGTGTCCCGCTCCCTCCCTGCCTCTCCCTGGGAGACAGCAGAGGTCCCAGTAGGGAATAACACTCAGGCAGTGGCACCAACCCCTCAGCCTCTGCACGAGGGCCCAGCTCCCAGCAGCGCGGGCGGGTCTGGCTAGGGCCTTCGGGTGCCTTCCTGCCATTCAGGCGTCTTGTACCTCGGGTGCCCTGCTCCAGCCTGTGATGTCATCCCACCTTGCACATCCTTGACCAGGGCCCTCCTTGGTGGTGAGCTGGAACTTCTGCAGGTCAGGAGCTCCAAGGGCTCTCAGGGGCTCTTGGGAGGCTGCTTGGAATGCCAGGGTGAGGAGAACTTGTATGGGGCCCCGGGCATTGTGACACCTCTTGACAACACAATTCCTTCTGTCTTCCCAAGGAGACGTGGGGTCAGCACGCAGGGCTGAAGTTTCAGGCTTAGAGGGTCTTCTTTTAACCTTGACATTGGCCCGCTCTGCTTTTCCCACAAACCCCTAGAACCCACAAACCGTGGGCAGTGGGGGGAGTGGAGAGAGATCATCCTGGTTATTCAGGTAGCTCCAGAGTCCTAATGTCTCCCCAGGCCCCAACATGTCATAAGAAATCACTGGCAGGAAGGACATGTGCCCTGCCGACTGTCCATTCTATCTGTCTGCCTTCCAAATCACAGAAACGGGCGGCTGGATGGAGGGACGGACAGAGCAGTGGAGGAGGACAGGCAGGTGGAGGGCCTGGGTTGGTGGATGGGTGGACCCTCCTGATTGGAGCCCTGCTCACCTCCTCAGCCCCATCTCTTGCTATGTTTCCCCTCACTGTTCATGCAGTAGCTAATTTCTCAAACGTGCCCTGCTCTCTCCCCTCTGAGCCTTTGCATATGCTGTTCCTTCTCCCGACTGCTTTGAACAGGGGGTTAGGGGACGAAGGGATGGGTTGCAAGGTGGGTGGCTACGGGTGAGTGGACGGTTGGATGGACTGTCAGTAAGTGGACAGACGGTGGATGTCAGAGAGCATAGGATCGCAGGCCTGGGAGTTACACTGCCCGAGCTTGACCCTGGCTCCACCATTTTACTAGTGTATAATTTGGGGCAAATTAATTGACCTCTCTGTGCTTCTGTTTCCTCATGTGTAACACGGGTAGTCTAAAAGTCCCTACCCACTAGGGCTGGGCAAAGCACTTAGGACAGTTCCCGGCACAGAGTAAGCACTCAATAAATATTAGCTATTATTATGTGTGGGTAGGCAATTGGATTAATGGGGGAGTGACTTGAATGGGTGGCTCTGTCCCCATCCTCAAAAGTCAGCCTCCCCAACTCTCCAGGGTCCTATCTCCCCAACACCACACTTGGCAGGCACCTGCCAGGAGTGTGACCTGGGCTTCTCCCCGGGGTCAGGGGAGAGGACGAGGGCAGGACTGGGGGAGGGAGATAGAGCCAGCTGGTGCCTTCCTGCCCTCTGCCACACGGGCTTGGGCTGCAGCAGGACTTATTTCTTTCCTTCCTGGCCCTGCGTCAGCACTGACTGTTGGTGACAAGGCGGACTTTAGGGCCCACAGGCAGATCGGAAGTCAGGTGTTGATGACTTGTGCACTGTGCCTAGATCTCACGCCTTGATGGTAATGACCCCTAATTTCCAAGGGGGCCAGGAGGGGCCAAGAGGGAAGGAGAAGGAGCAGCTGCAACAATCGGCACCTGGCCTGCTGCAGCCTCTGATCGGGGTCTCCACGCGCTCTGGGGAGATGTTCTCTTGCTCGGAAGGAAGCGAAGGTGGGAACATGGCATTCTGGGCAGAGTGGCCAGCATCTCTACCTGGAGAAGGTAGCCTGGCTCCCAGCCCCGGGCCTGGAGCCACTGGGAGCTATTGGAAGTGAGCCCAGGCAGCTGGCGGGGTCTGGGGAAGCAGGGAGCCACAACGTAGCACACGTTAGACTTTGGCTCAGCCAGGAGACCTGGGCGACCTAAGTCCTGTCCCCTCTCTGAGCCTCAGTGTCCCTACGTATATCATGAAGGTGCTGGGTCCCTCCACCTTGGACACCTGAAGGTGGGGGAATTGAGTCATCCTGAGACCCTCAGGCAGGGACCCCCGACAGAACACAGGACCGGGCCCTGCCAGCAGTGTCCCCAGCCCAGGCTATGCCACCCTCACTGTGGGAACCTCAAGAGGGTGCAGTGGCTGGGAAAATCTCCTTTCGGAAGGCCTGGCCAGACAAGCCGTATCTGTCTGATTCCATTTGTAAACTGCATAATGATTAAGATCATGACCTCTGGACCCACTGTGCCTGGGTTCAAATCCCAGCTCTGCTACTTCTCAGCTGCATGGCTTACATGAATTACTTACTTTCTCTGTGCCTCGATTCCTAATCTGCAAATCGGGGATGATAGCAGAATTTACTCTGAAGGCTTGTTGTGAGGACTGTGTGAGCTTAGAGCAGTGCCTGCTACACGGTTGTGTGGGTTGTTATTTCTGAACTGCAGACAACACTGATTCAATCCCACCTCCTGGAAGCTCCCCCTTCTCTGACTTCCCTGCCATACTCTAGGCATGACTTCATTTAATTTGTCATCAAAGTCCCTGGAAGATAAAGGCTGTGGTCCTTACCCCACAGTGCTCAGTGGCTGTTGGGAAGAACGAGGAGAGAGGATGGGACTCAGGGCTGACTTGGAGCACGGGAAGATCCGCCGATCACCCCACGCTCGCCACACGTTCAGCCTCTTCCCCTCCTCCCCTCTCTGTTCCTGAGGCCAATGGTTTTCAGTGGCCTGCCACTGCCTCGCTGTACGTAGGCGGGGTTATTGGGACATTCTCTCCACCCTTCCTTACCTGCTGTGGGATTTGGACACGTTACTTAACCTCTCTGATCCTTACGTGTTTTCCTTTGATGGATCCCAAGTCCAGAGGGCGAGTTATTCACACTCCTTGCTTTGTGATGTGCTGTCACTGGTCCACGAAGCCCTCTCTCTTCTTATATTAATTTTCTCCCTTTTCCTCCATTCTCCAACCACATTCCCCACCCACCCCAGCCAGAAGCAACCATCCAAATGTGCTTAATGACTATCTCTTGTTTATATGTGTTATTGCAAAATAGATATTGTTGTTTTGCATGCAGGTAGTTTTCAATTACACAAGTGGTATTGTGTGTTTTAGATCTCATTCTGTTGTTTACTTTTATCACTCCTGTTTTTAAGATCCATCTGTGATGCTACATGAGCATCTAGTTCCTTGCTTCCAACTGCTGCACAGCCCTCCATGGAGTGCCTCCAACACATTTTACCTCTCTACTCCCCAGGGATGGACTCCCAGGTGCCTCCAGCTCCCCACCCCCACAGGCAACACTACAGTGACATCATACCCATGTCCCCTTATGGACATGGGTGAAGGGTTCTTTGGGGCATATTTCTAAGAGCACAATTGATTGGTCATAGCGTATGAGTAAACATCATTCGAAGTCTTCTCCATCCAGAAAAGGGGTGTGCTGCCCCCTTGCTTGTGGGGCTGACTTGACCGAAGGGGGCTAATGCATGGAACTCACTTGGCCCCATGACTGACACAGAAAAGATACCCAGTGCACGAGAGGTATAGCTGCTGCTCCTTCCAGTCCCAGGGAGAGGGGCAGATAAGCTGTCTCTCAGACACACTGAAGACCCAAATCTTAAACTAGGACTTCGAGCCCTGGGTTAACCTCCCAGTTCAAGGTTTGGTCTCAAGAAAATGTGAGAAGTGTGTGGGGCTGTGTGATTCCTCAAGGGTAAAACCCGGTTCTGAATGGTAGGACCTCCCACAGCCTGAGCACAGGGCTTGGGGCAGAGACTTTGTGCCCAGAAAAGGCTTACGACGTTCCCTGGAGACGTTTCTCCCATTTCCTATCTGTCTTTCCCCAGAGCTGGAAGTAGCCTCCTCACACAGGAGGGAGAAGACAGCCTTGTCTGCTGTTCTGCCTCCGCTCTGTCAGCCAAGAAGCATTTTAACCAGGTGAAAAACCACCCCTGAGTACTGGATCCCACCATCCCATTTTACAGATGGAGAAACTGAGGCTCAGGAAGGCTCATGGTCTGATAGGAAGTTAGTGGCAGAGGTGGCACTAGAATCCACATCTCCAGGTTCTCCCTACCCCCTGCTCCAGTGCTCTCTGAGAAAAGAAAATGCATTCCATGTTACATTATGCTCTTTTTATTTGTTGAGTTTTAAGTTAAAACAAATGATATACCAACAGAGCATATTACTGAAAAGTTAAAAAACCAGTATGTGTAATCCTGACATCCCAGTTGAATCATCTTCATAGTTCTGTTCCCTTCCAATCCCTGGCCATTCACAAATATATTTATAGTCACAATCTACATAGAATTTTGTGTTTTCCTTTTTGTACTTAGTCCATTTTTTTAAATGTATGCACATGTGCACACACAATTATTTCAGATTGTGGGATGTGTTTTACAACAGGATGTTTTCACCTGTCCTGCAGGGTGACCTTGTAGATACCTGCCCTACCCTGTCTCCTGGGTCTTGGTGGAATTTTCCTTCTCAAGGCTCTTTGTTGAATTGACACTGCTCTCTTGTAGCCTCTCGTGGCGTCTGCTCTGTCCTTGCTGTTCTCTGTTTAGTATTTCTGTGCCCAAAGGCAGGGAGGGGCGTGGGAGGGAACACCCGGGTACCGAGCTTGCGCACCAGCAGCGGGGCCCTTCACTGGGTACGTTAACCCACTCTCTCTTTGAGTTTCCTAACAACCTTACAGTAATAGCCCCTGTTTCACAGACGAACAAACGGAGGCTCAGAGATGTGGCGATTCTGCCAAGGATCTCACACCCTGGAGAAGTAGCAAAGCCAGGATTCAAACCTGGTCTTCAGCCAAGGATCTTTCCCACAATGTCATGATCCCATTGAAAAGCCCATGGGTAAAAAGGAAAATCAGTCCCTTCCCAGCATCCCCTGAACATACCACTCCCCAACCAGGGCAGACCTCAGATCCCCACACCGTCAGGCGCCAGGTAAGCAAGTGTCTCTGAGCCCTTTCTCAGGATGTGCAGGAGTACACCTTGTCCAGACTTCTCTCAGCCCTGACCCCATCTCCTGGACCCCAGCTGGCCCAGAGGAAAGCTGAGGTAGGTGAGATGAAGCCTACCCTCCGAAAGAGGGTAGACCGAAAGAAACAGTTTCAGGCCAGGCATGGTGGCTCACACCTATAATCCCAGCACTTTGGGAGGCCAAGACGGGAAAATCACTTGAGGCCAAGAGTTTGAGACCAGCCTGGGTAACATAGGCCTTGTCTCTACAAAAAATAAAAAAATTTAGCTGGGTGTGGTGGCACGTGCCTGTCGTCCCAGCTACTTGGGAGGGAGGTGGGAGGATTGCCTGAGCCCAGGAGTTAGAGGTTGCAGTGAGCTATGATGACACCACAGCACTTCAGCCTGGGTGACAGAGCAAAGCCCTGTCTCTAAAAAAAGAAAAAAAGAAAAGAAAAGAAACAGTTTCAGAAGCTCGTCTGGGATAAACTGTCTCCCACCTGGGCACGAAAGGCTAGCCAAGATGATCTGCAACCCAGTATCATTTGGGAGTTAGGCTGATGGGAGTTGTGGTTTTAGCGTCTGGAGAGCTGGCTGCAGAGACCCGGGGTGGGGATGAAGGTGACCCTCAGGATGTCTCAGCCTGCCCTTCCCCCACTCAGAGTCCACACTCCCAGCTTAGAACACTTGCTTTGTTGGAGGAAAACCTACAAATGTGACAAAGACTGCAACTTCTGGGCCCCAATCCCACCCCACATTCCAGAAGTGACCAGTAAAGTCAGCTCTCAGGAGGTTCCTGAGTAATTGCCAAGCAGAAATTTACAATAATTACAGGATTCGGCTTTTGTGTGTTTTGAGCGGAGCCTGTTATTTGGCTGTTTATTTTACTGGAGGAGCAGGTGGGAGGTGCTGTTATTAGATGACTGAGTGGGGTGAGAGGCTACAGTGCAGGCTGCTGAGCTGGACAGAGAATGAGGCTCTGACTCCGCCTCGGGGAGCACAGCCACAAAAACTGCCAGGCCGACAGGATGGAACTGGGGGCACTGGGGAGACTGCCCACCCCTGTACCTAGGCCTTCTAGAGACTCCCCACCATCCCCCTGCAAACAAGCCCAGGAGAGGAGACGGTTATTGCTCTCCTGCTACAGATGAAGGAACTGACTCCAAGTGTTTTCCCTATGTGCCAACTGTTACCGAGCCCTTCCTTTCTCCCTAAGATATGTCCCACAAACTCACAACCATGTTCTGTTTCCACCACCAGCACACAAGTCCTGGCCCCCATCCCCTCCTGCGTGTATCAATTAACCGAGTGATTATCCAATTAACCAATCAATTAAGCAGCTTCTCTTAGCCCCTCAGCCTACACTCTCTCCTTCATCCAAACTTTTGGAAGAACATCCTTAAAACACAGCTGTCCCCAGTCACCCCTGCCTGCTCAGGATGCCACAGAGCATCCTGGTTGCCACAGACTGTAGGCCAGAGCCTCTCAAAAGCCACCTGAATCCCCTGGGGACCTCATTAAAATGCAGATTTTCTTCTGGGTAATCCATCAGCTCATTGAAACTCATAATGACCTTAAATTAACAGCCCATTTTACAAATGAGCAAACTGAGGCTCAGAGAGGTTGCCCAAGGTCTGGGATGAGGCCTGAGATCTTACATTTCTAATAAGATCCCAGGTGATACAGATGTTGTTGGTTCATGGAGCACACCGAGTAGCAAAATTCTGCTAGACCAAACTTTCCCGCCTAGTTATTTTTTAATTTTTTAATTTTTTAAAAAATCTGTGGCACTGTCACTCAAGACCATGAAGACTGAGCTGTTGCTGGGCTGACTATTTTTTCTTTGATTTTTAAACAGGAAATACACTTACCTGGTTTGAAAATTTTGAAAGGGCTTCACTGAAAAGTCTCCCTCCCAGCCCTGTCCCCCATATTTGCCCAGTTCCCCCACCTCCACCCCAGTAACCAATTTTATAAGTTTTTTATGTATCTTTCCAAAGTTTCTCTGTGCCAAAACAAGCAAATAAGATCATACTTATCCTGCCCTGCCTCCTGCCCTTCGCCAATGGTAGCACACTACACACACCGTTTGGTTAACAGTTTATCAGTTTATCTTGGAGATAACTGGACACAGTCGGCTGACTCATTTGTTTTGGGAGCTGTATTATTATTCTATTGTATGGATGTGCCATGACTTATTTAACCAGTCACCTCTGGGTGGACATTTGGTTGTTTACGATTTTTCAAGCTGGACTTTTTAAGGCCTCCACACCCTGGCCAACCTTGCTATGACCTCCCACCCTTTCCTCAAGTCCCAGCTCTGCCCTCCTGAGCCCCTGCAGAGGGCTCCTGCCTGCCCTCCCCAGACCTTCCAGCCCACCCTGACTGCTCCACCGAACCTCAACTCCACTGTCAGTCCCTCTGCCTCATCTGCTCCCCACTGTTCATCTCCCCACAGGTCGTGCTGTCTCCCTAAACAGACTACAACAACCTGGACTCAGGAACCATGTCTTCGATTTCTCTGGCTCCTTCAGCCACCCAGCACTGGGCACTCAGTGGTTCTCAAGAACATCAGTTATATAGAGGAAGTCACAAACAAATGGCGCCGTTTCACGGTGACTCCACTGGGGCTGGTACTGGGTGTAAGAACCCAGGAGCTACCCAGGGTGGGAGGGACCTCATGCCTCAGAGATCGCCAAGAAAGAAGCCCTGTGTTGTGCCTGAGTGTCTGGAGCACTCTGGTGGGTTGTGATGCTGTCCGGGGTGTAATAGGGCATCTGGAGTTCCCTCGTGCCCTTTCCGTGTGGACAGCAGGAGGAACCATGACGTGGAGACAGGAGGCAGAGGGACAGAGAGTGCAGGTATGTGTGCACGCCCTAGAATGGGCTCTTCTCTTGTCTATTAACGTCCTTATTATGTTTCCCCGCCAACTCAAGCCTCAGTTCTTTCAAGAAGCCTTCCTGGACAGCTCCAGCCACGCAGACCTTCTTCCTGAATACCTGCTGTGTGTACCAGCCATAGCAGTCACTGTTCTGAAGCCAGTTGTCCACAGCCTTCCAACTGCACTCATATAGACCTCATCTTCCTCGTGAGCCCCCCATGATCCTCTGTAGTAGAAATAATACCAATAATTGTCTTGCGCCCTATGTCCCCCAACTGGGAGGTCCTCCACCAATACTCTTTGCACAAATAGGAGTTGGTTCCAAGAGTGCCTTGGTAGTGGGTGGGGTGGGACAGAGTTAACCACAGGAATGTCTGTGACCTAAAACATTTGTGGAACACAGGTGCTTTTAAAAATGTCACTGTGCCCCCACCCCCATCTATCCCTCAGTCCCTTCTCACCTGATACCTGTGAAATCAATGACCTCACAGCTGCAAGCTTTGAAGGCCTGGCTCATGTTGTCCCTTGACGCTAAAGCAAGTGAAGGAGACTTTTCAGAAATGTCACCATCATGAAAAACAAACAAAAAATAGCTGGGGACTATTAAATTAAGAAATTAAAGCCACATAACAGGCAAAGGCAATGTGTGAATCTTGATTGGACTGTGGATTGGAAAAGAAATAAAAAACGAAAATGACATTTGGGGGATAATTGGGAAATTTTTAATATGAAGTGTGCATGAAATCATAGTGTATCAATGTTAAATTTCTTGAGTGTGACAGTTGTCTTGTGGTCACATAGGGGAATGTTCTTATTCTTAGACAATAGATGCTGAAGTATTGGGGAGGTGAAGAGATGGGCCACGGTATCCACAACTTTCGACCTTCAGCAAAATGAAAATGAAATGTGTGTATTATGTGTGTATGTATGTGTATTATGTGTGTGTGTGAGAGAGAGAGAGAGAAAGCAAATTCGACACATGTTAACAGTTGGTGAATCCAGGAGAAGGTATACAGGTGGTCACTGTACTATTTATTCTTTCGAGTTTTCTGTAGGTTTGGAATTTTTTCAAAATAAAAAGTCAAGGGGGAAATGGCTTTGGTGTAAGATCTGGGGTGAAGTGAGGGGAAATGTGGCAGCAGCGACTTGATCACCCCCACGCAGCCTCCAGCCATGCAGCCAGAAAACATCAAACTCCAGCCCCTTGGCCTGGCGCTGCCGCTCTCAGCATGGCAGACAGGCTCCCCCAGGTCCTCGCCTGATGGGACCCTCCCCCGTGGGGAGCCACCCCTGGCCGGGCTAGAATGGCAACCCCAAGTTCCTTAAAGGGCCGCTGCTGGTCTTCCCCAAGAGTGAACTGAACTTAACTGAAGTGGGCCCAATCTACCTTGGGTTTTTAACAATCATATTCACTTAGCTTCACATAAAACAAGAATTCGATGTACACAAAATGCCAAGATTTAGTCATCCCCCTCTTTGGAGCCCTGTCAAAGAGGCTATTTCCCACCCTAGTCATCAGCTTGGTGGACTAGTTTGTTATTTTATTGCCCTTCCCAGCTTACTTCTTCTGGGCCCTTTCTTGTAGTCACCGAAGCCGCACGCCCCACTGCTGGAGGCCTGTGCGATGCACTGACGTGTCAGCTTCGGCCAGCCACGGCCCTCGTGCCGGACGCCAGAGCCGTTTCCCAAGTGCCCAGGCCACCTGGTCACGACGCCCTGCCGGGGAGGGGGCGGGGGTGGAGGAGGCGGGCCAGGGAGAGCCCCGGGGAGGAGGGCGGCTCGTCTCCCGGGCAGGGCGTGGGCCGCGCGCGGTCCCCAGCCCACCGGGCCGTGCCGACAATGGCCTGTTGTAGAAGGCGGCGGGGAGGAATGCGGCCCGGGGAGTCGGGCGGCGGGGCGGCGGGGCGGGGCCGGGTCTGGGCGGCAGCCTCTTACCTGTCCAGGTAGCTCGCATTTCGCGGCGAGCGGCGGCCCCGCAGCACCTGTCGCCCGGCGCGCGGGCGCGGAGGACGGCGGGGAACATGGCCTGGTAGAGTCGCCTGGGGAGCCCGTGCGGAGTTCGGTCCGGGGCAGGGCAAGCGCGGGAGGGACGGTCCTTCCCCGGCGCCCGCGCGGCCTGCGGCAGCATGAGAAAGAACCAGACGGTGCAGGGCACCTTCAGCAAACTCTTCGGGAAGAAGCACGCCGCCTCCCCCAACACCTCCCTCTACGCCACCAACCCGCCCTGGATTTTCACCCAAGAGGCCCCGGAGGAGGGGACCAGAGATTTTGGTAAGTTCCCGGGGGACGGGGGAGGCCGCGCGGGGAGCGGCTGGCGGCGCTGCCTCCCTCCCGGGAAGGCGGGAGGCGGGAGGGGCAGGGACGCGTTGGAACCTGTGCAC